TATAATATATGAAATAATATATAATTTTATGTGTGTATATATAATGATATATAAAATCTTAATATATGATAATATATAAAATAATATATATACAATTTTATTTATATATAATCTCTACTTCTCTTTGACTAGTGGCGGCAAACCTATGGCATGTGTGTTATTTAGTTTTATTTTTAGATAAAAGATGTTAATGTATGAGTTGTGTTTTCTAAACTAAAAGCTCAGCATTCAGTTTTAATTATAGTGTTGGAGCTTTGCAGTAAATAAACGGGTTTGGGGTTGCAATTTGGGCACTTGTCTCTAAAAGGTTCGCCGTCATTGTCCTAGACTATCAAAACTAGTACTTTACAATAAGTACTGGTAAACATCTATTAGTAATGTACTATAAACAAATATTAACAATAGAAATAGATATTTCATGAAGAGTTTAAAGCACCAGCAGGGCATGGTGGCACACGCCTGTAATCCCAGCACCTGGGAGGCTGAGGCAGGAGGATCGCTGTGAGTTCGAGACCAACCTGGGCTATCTAGTGAGTTCCAGGTCAGTCTCAACTACATAGGGAGACCCTATCTCAAAAAACAAATGAACAAAAAAAGAGCTTAAAGCACCCAGAGTCTGGGATAATTAACCTACCGTCCAGTACCATACACAGTGCATCTGGGAGAAATGGGAACCCAGCTCCTTTCTGAGGCCACCAGCAACTGACTCCTTCAAAGTGCAACACATTTACGTGTCCAGCAGCTCTAGCCACAAAAACATGTACAGTGAAAATCCGCCTCCCTACACAAGGCTGCACACTTGGCAGGACCTCTCCTGCCAGACCTTTTCTTACCAAACCCACCCTTCGGTGAGGAGCCAGTGACCCTGGGGATCTCGGTGCATTTGAAAGGAAGGCATAATGAAAGCAAGGCAGGAGCATCTCTTGAAACAAATGGCCTGGCCAGGCCCCCAAGAGTCCTCCCAGATTATGAGGGATAATGGGCAAGGTGTGGTTTCCCAGCCCCTAAGAAGTTTCACTTTATTGTCAGCGTGATTTTACAAATGCCAGGACTGAATGAGCCAGAGGAGGAAGCGGACCTCTGCCCCTCCTCTAGGATAAAACCCAGAAATCCAGAACCAAGTCGAGTCAAGTGAAATATCTGACTTCAGATGGGCGAGCTGTTCGTGCAGTACTGTCACACCAGTCACTATTTGTGGGCTACAGAGAAGTCAACTTGCTGCAAGACCAGACAGTGGAGCATCAGAACAAGACAGATGGGTTGACTGGGAAAATACTTCATAGCATCAGACACCAGTATTTGCTACGTGTGTCTCTGTGACTGAGGCCCGAGGTTTGCCACACAAACCTCGGACACACAGCCTTGGAAAAGCACTTCTAGAGATGGCATCACTTAACTTTTAAAACTCCTCTGACCAAATTCTAACCTTTATCCAAAGGGAAACTTAACTTCTTTAGAGATATAGATTGTTTTAGTTTAGCTTCACATGGTTCTCTTTCTGCCTTGTTCCATAATTAATTCTCTAAATATCATGTTTCCTGTATTTCGGGGGAAGAAGGAGAAGTGGTGTATACACACACACACACACACACACACACACACACACACACATGCACGCACGCACACACATACTCCTCACTTGTACCGTATGAAGTCTGAACTGCTATGTCTTCCTCTGCCGTCTCCTACATGGTACAGGACACTCTTGCCGTTGCACAGTCCCTCCATCTCTTGGCTTCTTCTGTCTCTTGCCCTGCACACTGAGGACAGAGATACTGAGTGTGTCTGTGCTGTAGAACAACCCAGGTCAGCAGCTCTTGCTGAGTGCTGACTAGCAATGGGGGTGCAGCTCTGTTAATTAGCATTGCTGCAGACAACACAGGTGATCCCACAAACTGTCTCTTAAAAGGCTCAAGATCTCTTTCAGAGCAAACCGTCTGTAAACATTTAAACAAAACTGGTTGAGGACTCGAACAGAAACGTGAAGAGTTTCTACCATGACCACTAGGTCTCTCAGAAAAGAGATCACAACCCTTACACTAAACCTCTTTTTAAATGGAGGACAGAGAAATCGATGTCTAAGTCATCAGCCCCTGGAGGAAAAATACAGAATTCCCACGTATCATTTTTATATCATTTTAAATATTTAAAAATGCTTTATTATTGTGGAAATACCAACAACACATAAATTTCCAGATTACAAATACCGCAGTCCATACTCATATTTGTTTGGGATATTAGATTTGTTTCAACTTTTCTTCATATACTTAAATCTCATTTCTTAGCTGTGTCTGTTGCATTACTAGAAGTGGTTATATATTCAGGTTTTCAATCAACTGGTTTACTTGGTTGGATTGACTATAAATTTGCTGACATATATTGATTGTTCCTCATTTCCTTGCCGAAGGATCATTTCTTCTACTCATTTATTCTCAATATTTCTACTTTCCTATTTGTCAGGATCATATGAGCAGCATAACAGAGCATACCAAGCTCATAAGGAGTGGCATAAACTAATTACCAGATTTTATGATGGAAACTATTCTGTTCCCATGTGATCACTTGGGTTGGATAATAATCCTTGTGAACAGATCCAGCTCCTACCACACCAAGACCATAAGCAGCCTCATTCAAGCAAGCTCTTACTTTGCCCTCTGACTTCCGTTTAGAACATGGATATGGTTTGAATACAGAAGGAAACTGCTAGAATATAGCGAGGTACAGTAATGAAAAGGAAAGAGCCTGAATAATAGATTTGGAGTTTAAAAAATTCCTGATCTTCTTTTACAGCTGACAGAAAGAAAAACAACCCAAATGAGTTGCGTTTGGGAACTCCTATGATGAAAACACAGTGTAGAACTAAAACATAGGGAAGTTGGAGAAACTTCCACTGCAGGTGGCGGGCGTAGAAGCACTGAAGCACAGACCCTAAATGGAAGTGTGGAATTGTTTGCCATGGGAAGAAGAGCCACAAATAAGAGTGAAAATCAGTGCTGGCTCATTGCACCCGCAGCGGGGCTGATGAGCTCCACTGTTAAGGCTTCCTCTGAACCACAGATGGACTTGGACCGCTCTTTGTTGGCCCTGGATCTGTGCAGAATGAGCCCAGTCTTCACCACCAACCCGGGGGAACGCAACCACTGCACTGCGTGCCCCAGTGTTGTGCTCACTTTGCTTGCGCTGGGGTCAAATTCTGCCATGTTGGAAATTTCACCTGAAGTGTGCTTCACCTGTGGTGTATCTGCTCACCCTGTGGGTGATTTTTTTACCGAAACACCACACAGCATTCCAAATTAACTTGGAAGAATGGGGAGGGAGCAATCAAAATGGGACTTACTATGTACTCACAGACTTCTGTATGGAGGAGGTCATTCACTTTAATGGTAATTGTCAAAAGTATAAGTTTTTTAATGCAAATAATTATCAACTATCTCAATGAAAGAGACACAGAGGTAGAAGGAACAAGTGGCTAAAATGTCACTTGTAGGCTCTGTACCATAGTGAAAATGAAAATGAATTTAGGGCCAGGGATTTAGCTCCGTGGTTCCACTGCCTGACTGGCAAGCACAAGGTTCTGAATTCGATCCCCGGTATTAAAAAAAAAATTAATGAATTTTAAAAATCATACAGTAAAACCTTATGAATCTGAAATATCATAACAATATACAGAAGTATCTCTGCATGAGAAAGTACTAAATAAGTATGCTTAACAGTTTATTTCTAACTTTGCTGATTTACAGATGCCATGTATTCTTAAAATATATAGATATTTTACAGTTCTGCCTAAATGCAAACAATACATTTGTCTGACTCATACCACAAGCATGATTTTGTTTTCGTTTTGGTTTTTCCTGGTGAATATGGTCATCATCCATGACTGCCAATGAAAATTATTTTTTAAATTGTAAGACTACATTATTACAAATACTACACCCCTGTGTGGCAAGAATCCATTCCAAAAACTAGTAATTAATTGCAATTTTTTCATTTCTATTGACCAGTTATTTGGGTTTTAAAAATTATCTTTAGATTGAGACCAAGAAATTTATGCTCCTCAAAAATTTTAAAGATCATTAAAATTGGGTTATAGAAAAGATGCAAAAAAGACAAAATGCTATATTACAAAATGAGTATATAAAGGATCAAAAGAGCACTTAGAGTTGGCAAAAGAGCACTTAGAGATGTGAAGTAAACATAGGTCTACAGGCAAGGTCAGAAAAATATTTAAATATCTATTAAGACATGAGAAAAGAAAACTTCCTAATGACAGGAGAAAGGGTTCATTTTAGAAAACAAGCTTTTCTTTATTATAAGTTTATATTTCACGTTGTTAACTCAGGCCAAATTGCACACATTAAAATACACTTACAGCATTCAGCTTGCACTCTGTGAATATCTGCATAGTGCTTCTGCTCTGACGCTTGCTCTTTCAATAGCTTTATTTTGGCAATAAAAAATGTATGTGTGCTAGTAAAAATCATGCTTCCAGTAGACTTAAAAAGCCTGAAAAGATGCATTTGTTGAAATTTGCATCAAGTTTTGAAAATGTCTGTTTAACAATTGACACGGCCATATTTTAACTTTTAAGCTCTTACACTGAGAGTACCGAGACATTACAGCAATTTACTCTTAGGGACATTATAGTGGGCTTTGAAATTCAGAAAGAATACTTCTTCTGGGGTTATTTTATGATCAACGTACATTCTGTACACAGGGAAAAGTTAAAGCTGTCTGACAACTCCCAGAAACATCACTGCTCAAGATATAGGAAATTGCATAAAAGCATGAAAAGCTCTGGGTAATTTTGCAGTTTCATCTCCAAACACAATGTAAAGACGTCTGTCTTTCAGTTCTTTCTCCTCCTTCTGAAACATGGCCTTTCAGCTCCTGCCCTTTTGAATAGCTCTGCCGTCTGTAGCGTTGCTCCTTAATGGACTGGTTGATCCTACTGGGCTAAGAAAGTATTTATAAGGACCGCTCCCTTTTATCTGTATTTGCAGAGAATGCTAACAAATTAGAAGAAAGTGCCAGAGAACACCACATACCTTGCCCAGAACATTACAACGGCTTCTGTATGCACGGCAAGTGTGAACACTCCATCAACATGCAGGAGCCGTCATGCAGGTAACCTTTTCACTCTTCAACTAGGTGTTAAACGCTATGGAGGATTGGTTGCTGTTCTTTCTGAATGGGTGATCAACAGCAGAACTTGAATTCGTTTCCTGTCTTGTACCTGCCCCCACATGCGCACACACACCCAAAACCACGAAATGTGTGTGCCCTGCACAGTCAAGTCCAATGCAGCATATAACTGTAGATACTCTTCTGGCAGAATTCAAACCTGTACTGTGTGCAGGAGATGCTCCTGAAAGGCGCAGGCTACCCCTGTGGCTCCCACTCCTTCCCCTGCACATGGAACAGTGAGTGGAGCTGCTCACCTAAGTATTTCTCAAATCTGTCGCTGTGAACTTGAGGAAGTCATTGTGTCCAGAGCTCTTCCCAGCTCCTAATCAGTGCCGGCCCTGGTTGACCCTACGCACTGCTTTCAGGGAGCCTGTCATCCACGGAGATCTGCATTGTGAAACAACTAACCACGCTCCCACAGTTCAAATCAAGTGCACTCCAGTTGCTTGTCTGGGTATAATTTGTAGCTGTCGAGAACTCAGATCTAAAACACAGTGATCATTTCACAGACAGCAAAGCCGAAATGGAAAGATATATTGTTATTTAAACTGATAAAGTTGCACATGATGAATGAGATTGTGTTTTGAGATACGGATATACAACAGTTCTCCCTTCTTCTCCCTCTCTCCTCTCCCTCTCCTCGCTCATCTGCAGTCGCTTTCTTCCTTTTCCCACCACTGAATACACCAGCACCTGCCTTTGGGGGCAGCCAGGCAGAGCAAACATTCAGAGCCCCCTCAGCAGTCACCGTGACTAAATCCTTCCCAAAGCACAGGAAGCCCCTCAGGACCTAATGGCAGTGAGAACTGCGAAGTCACAGTCACCTCCTGAAATAGCTCCACAAAATCAAAGATGTGTCAGTGCCCTTCAGTATCTTTTATGAGTTGTTTCCTCGTTGCATTTTCAAACGCCGATCTCAGCAAGCAGGCTGTGTATCTGAGCTTTTGGTTGGAAGTTGAGGGAGAGGCAACATTCATTCTCAGAGGACTCACACATACACCTGTTTTGAAGAAGAAGTATGTTGCCTACATCATAATTTTTTTTTTTCTTTTCAGGGAGAGTCTTGCTGTGTTGTTTAAGCTGGTCTTGAACTCATGATCGCTGAAGGTCTCCTGCCTCAGCCTTTCACACAGCTAGAACTGTGGCCACACATCACTGCACCTAGCTATAAGTAGTTCTTTCTGATAAAATTTAACTCTAACACCAGCAGATGGAGGAAAAATTAGAGAAATGATTCTTACTGCACCTCTAATCCTAATGTTTGTCAATATTTTTTCTGACAATAGCATATGAAATGTTTTATTTTAAACAAATAGACTTAGTTTTCATACCATGTAATCAAACACAATCTTTTTCCTCAAATAACTGACTTATAATGTTGACTAACAAATTAGCTAAGATGTAAAGCTTGCTTTCAAAAAAACGGAATGATTGGAATGATTAAAAAAAAATGGACATCATTATCTGTCTGACTTGTCATCAAAATCAAATTATCTAGCAATCCTATCTTCAAAATTCATTATTACCTGGAACTCACTATGTATCCTAGGCTGGTCTCAAACTCACAGCAATCCTTCTGCCTCAGCCTCCTGAGTGCTGGGATTACAGGCGTGCGCCAATATGCCCGGATTATGCAGATCCAGGCCTCTTGGCCATCTACAGCAACAAACCCGGCAGCTGCAGGTTACTGGGCACTGTGCTCTCTTCCAGGTGTGATGCTGGTTACACTGGGCAACACTGTGAAAAGAAGGACTACAGTGTTCTGTACGTTGTTCCCGGCCCCGTGCGGTTCCAGTACGTCTTGATCGCGGCTGTGATTGGAACGGTTCAGATCGCTGTCATCTGCGTGGTCGTGCTCTGCATCACGAGGTCAGTGCCTGCACTTGGTGGCTGTCCACGCGGGGATGGCTTGTCCCACCTGTCCGCCCATGGTTTCATGAGGGACTCCATGAGACCCGCTTCCTCATCATCAGAGTGCTTGAACAGCCACATGGAAAGGCTTCGATTTCCATGTTGGACTAATGCAAACTACTTTTCTCATTGTTGCATTATGATTGGGATTATTTTCTAAGTTAAGATCTTTCTTTCTCTTTAGCATATAATGCCAACCTGTGTCTAAACTTGCTTTTGTCTTTTACTAAAAAAGGTCAGTCTTCACTCATACTGCTGACGGCCTATTGATATGACCTGTGTATCCCCAACTACCTAAATCAGCAAGCCGGGTGGGCTCAGGGTAGACTTTCCTCAGGCCTAGGAATATACTGGGTTACAGCTATCGCTCATAGCACTTGTATTTCCAAGTGTAAGTCTCGGACATGATGGATCCTAGCATACTTGATATAAGCGCCTTTATCTTAAGTTGCCAGAGTAGCTCCGAACAACATATTAAAAGGAATTCTGATGAGAGACTTCGTTCTGTTGTAAATGAACACAGGTGATATAGGAAACATGCAGAGAATATGACAACAAACTTTCATCTCAAACTCGGAGTCCAGTGCAAAGATTATTGTTCTCTGGACAGCCAGGTTGAGAGAGCATAGAGGCTTCACCTGGTGTAGCGGGAAAGCATGATTGACTGATAATGTCTGACGCTGGGGCTGCGTGGGAGAAGGGAAGCTGGGGACTTGCTTGGGATTTCATTCCTGTGCCAGCCACAGCAGCCAGAACTCAGATCCGGAGCCAAGGGAGTGTTACTGATGCCCTGCACACCCGGAATAGCTTCCGAAGTGCTTCTTTCTGACCTGATTTCACTCTCCTTTAAAAGGTTCCGAGAAGGTTCTTTAATGTTTGCACCAATCCGTGAGGCATTTTATTCATTTGTACAGCTCCCCGGTGGATCTGAATTCTTCCCAAAATAATTTTTTTTGAGGGGGTACCAGAGATCGAACTTGGGACCTTGCCCTTGTGAGGCAGGTGGCAGAACCACTGAGCTAATCCCCAGCTCCCAAAATAAGTTTTTTAAAAAATAGGAAAATAAAAGTATCACACCTTTAAAAAAAATAAAGGCCATGAAGCATCTCTGTACTGTGACACACGGTCTTCTTCGAGGACAAGTGTGGCGTTTGCTCCTGAAAAATACAAGATGTGGTTCATAAATCCATGCACCGCCCAAAGGCTTTGCGGGGATCATGGCAGGAGCTTTGTGCTGCTCCAGGCCAAGTTGGGTTCATCAGCTCAACTCTCACGTTCAGAGGCCGAGTGAGTCGATGGATTATGTTAAAAGAGGTCTGGGGAACACAAAGAGCATTCAAGAAGCCAAAAATACTGCTATAAAAAGAAAAAATAGAAAATCTGAAATGCAGGGAACTGTGCCGCCCTGCTCTGAGGGACCTGAGGTCTGCAATGTTTGGGGAACAGCAGTGCATGGAAAACAAAACTCGTCTGTAATGCGAATAATGGCAGGACGACTTGATTGTTCTTTCGTATATTGGAAGAAAGAATTTAAGTGCTTCAGCTGATGCTGCAGCCCTGCATTAATCCCAGTGTCATCCCCATGCGTAGTGAAAACTACAGAATATTGGGAATTGTGACCTAGCCAGGAGCTGCGCATAGATGGATGGATGGATGGATGGATGTGTGTTGTATGTTTATGCATACATGCACATGTGTGCATGGCACATAGACACACACCTAAGTACATTACAAAGAATAGATAATTTTCCACCTTTTCAAGATGGAGCCGAGCACTGAGTTCACACAGCTTCTAGAAATGAGGGCAGTTCCAGTGCCCCAGCTGGCCATGGCTTTGAGTATTTTCTAGACTCAAAACTACATGCCCTGAGCTCCAGATCAGAGGAAGCTATATTTCCAAGGCATGCAGGTTTTTCTTTTCTTTCTTTTCATGTGAAAACACGTTTTGAGCCTAGGAAATATTCAAAGCAAAGGCACATGAACTAAATGAACACTACTGTAATGTATTTCCTTAATCTGTACTTGGAGCCCTCACCCTTCCAAAGCCTTTTCAGGATGTGTACTAGTCAGGAATCTGCTCCAGTTCCCAGGGTGGAAGAGTTTCCTTCACTGGAAGAGATCCTGCCTAGCAAGCAGGCTTTACAGGAGACCCCCACAACTGAGCCGCCCTAATGACCCAACACTTGTTTGTGGAGGTACAAAATCACACCCAGCACAGTCCCTTCACTCTCTGCAATTTTCTTTTAATGTCTTCCTCGCCTGTTCTCTTTGTTTCCTGCATTTCTTTCTCTTCTCTACTTTGCTCTTTCTCTCTGTTTTTTGGTTATTTATTTTTATCTTTCTGCATTAGTCAAACACCTGTCCTCCTCCTAAACAGTGTGCGTCACAAAAACATGGATGTCTAGACATATGTTCCCCAATGAAAAGAGTTGCCCCATTGAGAAATTGGATTTTCAGTCACTTTATCTCCAACTCCCACTCGCTGGGAATGTGATTTCTAGCTCCTATTCATTTTTGACAGATACAGCTCTCAAAACAAAGCTAGAAATCTCCACATACATTATCTAGTATGTGTGCATGGCCATATATATGTTTGGGTATTTGTATATATTCTCCAAAACTTCTCAGCTTGTCATAATAGGGTTTTATGTGAATGTTGCAATGCTTCATTTGCATGATCAAAAGCATCTTTTATTACATGAAAAAATACTAGAACAGTGATTTTCAGAACATTTGACTGAGGATTAGCTTTTTATAGAAACTACATAATTGGGACCCATTTATGCCTCCAGTATTAATGCATCAAAATGGTATCAGTCTCAACCAAAACAACATTCCTTTCCATTACATATCAGATCTATTAACAGTTGGCTCATTCTCTGGCTTGATAGGATTTTCACTTGTAGCAATGAAATGTCAATATAACATTCATCCTTAAGACATTTAAAACATAAAATTGTTGAAGACCTTTAAAGTGAAACACAGCAAGCCCACGGCTGGCTTGATTTCACCAACCCCTTTCCTTGTGCCTTAATGAGGGGTAGTTGAGAACCAGGTAAATGTATTCCTCTCCAACCTTCAGTCCTGTTCTTCATTCTCAGCAGCTGCTTACAGACAAACCCAAGGATGCGCAAAAAATAAAGTGTAATTCCAGCTTCTATCAGTAATAAATTCTTTCGTCTGAAATACTTCCATAATGTGCTTAATCCACAGCCTTGCTCTGTGATTGTAGGACCAAATTTTAGGTGGTCACATTGGACTAAGATATGTAAACTTTCCAACCTTCTAGGAAATGCCCCAGAAGCAACCGAATTCACAGACAGAAGCAAAATACAGGCCACTACAGTTCAGACAACACAACGAGAGCGTCCACGAGGCTAATCTAAAGGGAGCATGTTTCTCAGTGGCTGGATTGCAGAGAGCTTGGACTACACAATACAGTATTATAGACAAAAGATAAGACAAAAGATCTACACATGTTGCCTTGCATTTGTGGTAATCTACACCAATGAAAACATGTACTACAGCTATATTTGATTATGTATGGATATATTTGAAATAGTATACATTGTCTTGATGTTTTTTCTGTAATGTAAATAAACTATTTATATCACACAATATAGTTTTTTCTTTCCCCATGTATTTGTTATATATAATAAATACTCAGTGATGAGAAAAATGGCATTCTTAAATTTGCAGTATTTCATAACTATAAATATAATCCATTCAGTACAGTCTGTTCAGGTGTCAGTGTTTCAGCTCTCTCCACGTCTTAACACAGGACTCAGTAGCTACGTTTTTGAGTGATTTCAAGATCAAGGGAAATGATGGTTATTGGAAAAGAGAAAAATAATTTACTGTATATTGAGTGAGGATAAAATATTTCAAATCTTTGAATCATCTCTATTTCATCTGCTTTCTTCCCTGGTCTTCCATTTTCATCCCCAGAGCAGAAAAATCTCTGGCATATAAATTAAATCAAAGAAGAAGAGGAGGGAGAGTGTTTTATAACTCATAAAAGGGAGTGAAAGAAGATATTGGTTTTTATTTGGGAAGCAGCTCAGAATCTCCCAGTTAAATGTATATAACTATAGCATCTCAAGCGAGGTTACAGTTTAGCTATTCCCACAGTGGCCAAATGTATTCCACTTAGGTGAGTGGAATTAACAGCTACGGGAAGCATTTAATAGCATCATTAAATGTGAAGCATCAAAATGGTGACTTCTCCAAGCACCTTGCTGCATTCATAGTATAATGTTTTCAAAAAGAAGTTAGGCTCATAACCACGTACTCCATGAATAACTTTATGGCCAACTAATGAGTTACCATTACATGAAATGGAGCTAAGTCAAGGACAGTATTTCATGAAAACAGAGAAATATGTGTTGAGTATATTTATATGATAAGAAAGAAAATGAATCCTACAGCATCTAAAGACCCTTAGTGGAAAGTTGGTGTCAAATTGTGTTGAATTTGATTATACAAATAGATATGACCACTTTGGAAAGAATAAACTATGAAGATTCTCAAAGAATAACATATCAAATAATTGCCTTATTATTTATCTCTGCATAGCTTTCTATGACTGATAAAGTAAATGTAAATAAAGCTCTTTTTGTCTCTTTCAAAAGACCTCTGAGTGGACTAAAAGAAATTACACCTGTATGCCCAAAAGGACACTATCAAACCAACACGTTCTGAACATAAAATATTCAATGAAGTATAAATTCATGAAGTGATATTTAAGATATTTGTGACAATCTAAACAGTACTATAAAAGGTCTGGTTTTCTGGGTTAGTCTTCATTTTGACAGCTTGAATCTACTGGCAATAAGCATCCGTCAAGTGTTCCTAATGCAGACCTGTGGTACTTGCATGACACCAATTCCTTTTAAAGTCCTAAGTGGAAATAGTCTGATTAGCGCATATGTGTGGAGCTATAAGAAGCCCTGACCACTTTTGGAAAATAGCACTTGCAGCAAACAAACCCTTCTTCCCACTAAAGGAAGAGGAAAAGTGTAATATCAACAGAGATACTTGGGGTTTAAGAGGAACAACAGTCCCACTGATTTTTCATTGAAAGGCTGTAAAATAACCTGCTTTCTTCGGTCCTGACGCATTGCTGTATGCAAATTTGTGTCAAAGATCGTGGACCTCATGTTGAAAAAGACTTTGGTATTTACCTGTCAGACTCTGGGTTCTCCCACCCCAGGAAGGAATAGCTTTGAAAAGCTGCATAATGAATATTCAGTGAATGACAAGTACTACCAGCCAGGGACTCCCTAAGGTGCTAGGGGAGTGGAAATAAATCACTGTCTCATCTGAAGGACCTCACAGTCCGATACTGATACATAGTCAGCCTCCACTGGCATGCTTCTTACCATTTGGAATTTCACTCTTGGGCAAGTCTAATTTTCCAAATCATTCTTCCTCATACTGAGTTAAAATTCACTCCCCTGCATTTTCTCCCCCAGGAGACTATTTTTGTTCTCCAGTGCAAAGGAATAATGGCCTATGTGTTTTAATATAAAGTCAGAACTCATGCTTTCCCACTCACCCCACATCTCCTCGAGTGTCTTCTTCTCTGAGTGAAGTGTGTTTAGTTGCCTCGTCTGCTTGTCATGTGATGATCCCCATGTCTTCCTAGCATCACACTCTTTCTTCCTCAACTCTACCTTGCCTCTGCGCTGTCCTTGGACTTGTTTAACAGGGGAACTCAAAGGGCTCCGTCTACTGATACTGTGTGGCCTGGCAACTGTTGCATGGTGGCAAACTGAATTGAGAGCCACGGTCCCTAAATTCAAGCCCTACTTGGACCACAGATGTTCAGTGGAATCATAAGCAAGGCATCTGAGGTCCCAATTTCCTCCTGCGCTTTTTCTGTAATACTAAGATTCTACATATTCAGATAAAAAAGGCACTATACAACTGCTACCCCCCAGCCATAGTAACTATTCTTCCTTGCCCTAAACATAAACTCAACTCCTTAAACAAACTGCTAACACACCATGTCATTCGCCCATTTATTCACTGCACTGAGGGTCCCGATTATGACAGTGTTAGATGACTGGACGACAAAGATTAAGTTCTGAAACAAACTTGCCATCAGATCATTCTTGTTTTTCGTGCATCAAAATTGTCAGTCTGAAGGGGGAAACTACGAGGCAAATAAAAAAGTTATAAAGAAGCTAATGAAGGCCAACACCCTGGTCTGTTCTATGCCTGTGCATGCTGGAGGGAACCTGGAGTCTGGTTAGATGTGCTTCCCCCCACTGAGATATGCAAACAACGCCCTCTGCTCCTCCATTCTGATGCCGGTCTGTTCCATACTCTTCACCCTGCTCTTCCAGACTCCCAGGGCTGGCAACAGCTTCTAGATGAGGCCTCCCTTAGGGTCCGCCTAACTCTGCTGAGGACAAAGTTGTTCCTTAATCGTCTGTGCAGATTGTTCTTCCCCTCAGGACAAAGCAATCAGACACCAGAAAATTGACAACTTCCATTTTTTTTTTCTTGAACAAACGTTTACTGGGTGCCTACTCCACACCAGATGTGACTCTAGGATCTGTGATACAGCAGTGAGTTGGGAACAGGCCTCTCTCTCAGGCTCACATTGAGTGAGAGAAGAGGAGCTACCAAACATTCAACAACAACTGGAACATTTTAAGGCTCAAAGACCCAAGAGTGAAATGCAGTGATTCAGGAGCCACCATGGTGAGGAGACTGGGTACCAACACAGGTGTAATGTTCAAAGCTTAGCCTCCACAACAGGCAGATGTGAGGCCCTCCCTAACCTCTTCTTATCAACCACTAACTCCTGGGTGATTTGCCCAATTTCTAATTTTAAAACAGAAAGAGAAGTATCCCCCCATCCTAGAGGACTAGCATAACAGTAAACAAGACAATTCACGTCTGGGCTCAAAACAGACGTGCACCAGTGAGATTCCAGAATATGATGAATGTTTCTGATAAAAGCAAATAGCGAGAAAGCAACTCATCAGCCAAGCGATGCATGGGTAGGACCCCAGGGGGGACGGCAGAGCGATGACCCAGCCCCATAAACGGGGACTCTGTCTTCTGAGGCGAGAATGCTGCACTCAGTTTTTCAAAAATGGGGAATGCAGAGTTAAAAAGACAATCCAGCCCCTCCGGGTATTATCAGTTCCCAAGTCTGTCCTGGTATTATGTCTGAACAAGAACGGAGGTATTAAAAAGAAAAAAAACAAAAACAGGCCTACCCTGATAAAACACACTACACACCAGCAAACTTTCCATGGCTGGCGAGTGAGTGAGCATCGCAGGGACCTGCAGGACCAAAGTCCTTACTGAGCGGAGCCTGGCGGAGGCATCTGTGCAGACCAGGGACTCGGCAGAGCTCCTCAGAGTCACGGGCTCTGCCAACATTCAACTTCCACGCCGCTCTCCTCTGCCAACGTCTGGCAGCACCTGCCCAGGGGACACTTTCCCGGTCACAGAAGACGGCTTCCCTTCCAGGGTTAACACCTGGGTGCCAGTAATGGGAGTTGTCCCTTTAATTACGTGATACTTTTCTAGGAGGACCCACAGGAAGCTTATAAAAAAGAGAGCTAAAGGGAGGATAGAGGTTGACGCCACGTGGTCGTTTTGTAACCGACCCATAAACACTCACGCATGAGCACGGGCCTTGCTGGGCTGGGGTGCTGTGCTGGCCCTGCGGTCGCTCTCCAGCCTCTCAGTGGACAGAAAGCTACTTCACAGGGCCCCCTGGCCTGGGAACCGGGCCCTCACCGACTTCTGTCCTCCACAGTAAGGGAGCTAATGGTCCATTTGTGAATCTTTCCATTTTCCATTCATTTTTACTATTTCCCTAGGATCAGGGAAGATTGGAAGGGACTAATATTTTCCATTGTTCTTCGAAGCCAAATTCAACGCAGGATGAGAGTGTAAGGCAGATTTAACAGCAGCACGGCGTTGGGTGTACCAGGGAAACAGAGGGGGCAGGGGCGAGGCCTTGCTCCTGGTCCTCCTGCTCATCAGGACCCCGTCCACGGGTCCAAACCCAGAAATGCCCCGAGCCTGCAGCTCTCCGCTCCACACAAGCGAACCCACTCGGGAGGTTCTCAGATGGCCCTGCGCCCTTCCTCTGACCGTCTCCTGTTGCTCTTCTCAAAATACCAGCCTCTCTTCTTCATGGTGTGAAGGCAGAGGCCTTTGCTGCAGCCCTTCTGCCACAGTCTCTGTTCCTTGTGGACTTCGACCTTAAAGACCGGGGCCTCTTGTTGGTTCCACTTTTGTTTTTCCTGAAAACCAAGCACAGGATAATATCCGAAAGCATCACTGTGGTGCAGGAGATTATTCATAAAGGCATCAGTGAGGGACACTTGATTAACCGGTAAATTCAGAAAATGCAGACAAGCAAATGAACAAACAAAACCCTTAAAATAATCATACCAAGACCAGGAGAAAAACAGCATGGTGT